CGACCAGATGGTCCCATTTCTTCACGAAAGGTATAGAAGAGAGATATGATGCTCAGCGAATGCCTAGAGCGAGGAGGACCCATTTGGCGTCTCCCTGGACACGACAGGGAAAAATGGAAGAGTTACTGGTACCCGCTTGAGTCACTCGTCGATCAACGGAATCACAGGTGATTGGAAAAAAGACGTAATTTGCGTTACGCAGCGAAATACGCCACACGAAGGCATCAGTTGCGAAATTCAATGAAAACTTTAGCGAAGATCCAAGCAGAGACGAGAGCAAAACAAAGAATGCACTCGATTTTTCATCGCCTTTACAGCGCACCGGAAAGGTACGTAGAGTACTAAATTCGTCGTTTTCCGAGCTATCGAGTCATTACTGGGAAACGGGGATAAAAAAGGCTCTACCCATCGAGAAAAAAAGACGCGAGAATCCAGCGCGATCTACCGGATGGTGAAGCGGCCAACTGAAATTCGAATACGAAATTAAACCGCCTTTTAGCGTGTGCTGTCTGCATTCATCTAATTCACGCATTTTTGCAGTCCAGTACCGAACTTATGCGGTGGGGAATATGAGTGCTAGAAGCAAGTATCTCTAGATCTACCCAGTGATCTAGAGTGTTGTGCGAGATTTTTGCTTCAGGCGGGACTCGAGCGCGCATCTCACTCCAACCGCGAAAGCGCGTGCTCCAACCCAGTGCGCCATTGACGCCCGTTTTGCCATCACTAAGCAATTTTGTGACTTAGTTTTTCGGTTCCTGATTGTAAGGGCACAAATGAAGAACCGATCTAATTCGCTGTAAAGGAGCTTTTCATGGGAGTGGTAGTACCCATTCGAAATCCGAGACCTCAAGGTGCAGCCCCATGTCGTCGGTTTTCAGGAAGCCTTTTTTTTGGCGTTGTTGCAGGAGGAAATTTCTTGCGTTGTAGACGTGCATATTTCTATCCGGACAGTGCTCTTTCTCTGGACTATTAGTAATCATTCGATAGCGTAATCACTTCTGATTCCAACGCTGTGCTTATATTCTGAAAAGACCGTTTCTCTGCAACGCAGCTGAGAAGAAAGGTTGATTTTGCGCGAGCAAAGTGTTTTTTAGCTGTTACATGGGGTGGTGAGGAGCGGGGCGAGGGCAGCTGTGGTCGTTTTCACACAACCATCGACCAACTCGCGCTTTGGCTTGTGGCGTATCTCCCTGCTGCACTGTAGAAGAACGGTCTTTTCGCAAAACAAGAACAGCCCTTGGAACCAGCAAGCATTGCGCTATCGAATGGTTACTAGAAGTCCAAAAAAGAGGTCTGTCCGACGAGGTGTAAGGCATCTTCCTCCTAGAGCTCCATCAGAAGTGCTTTTCCAAAAAAAAAAAAACATATTTTTTGAGTTCTTTGAAACTAGAGCTATCGACTGATTACTGGCAGTCTAAGGAATTTGGTCAAGCAAAGTATAAGTGAGATAAGAAAAAAACATGTGGTTGTGTGAAACATATTTTTATTTCTAATTTTACACCACTGTAAAGGAAACCAATCATGTAGGGCTCTAATCAGAGATTCAAGTTTTCGAATGATAACTAATACTTCTGTGGAAAAAATCCTATCCAGCGAATGAGATCGATTTTTCATTTGTTCCTCTATCATGAGAAAGAATCTAGTTTGCTAATTTCAGGCTGATTGGACCATGCATTTCGTTGATCCCACTAGGTGTCGCTAGAAGGTTATCGTTGCTAATTTCAGCCAATCAGACGTGCTGATTAGAGCTGAAACGTAAGGATCAGCATGCATTTCCAGGACGACTTCAGGAAGTCACCCGTGTTTCTATGCGACAAGACCACCTCATTAGCTCCGTGGGGCTGAAGTCATTAGTTCACTCCGCCCACATCGTCTACGATGAATGTTATTCATTCGGCCTAGCGAGAAGCTGTCATGCTCTCTGATAACGATTAAAGAAAAACATCTAATTACCCCTGTTGCTACCCGTGATTGATTAATCTTCGTGTCTTCGATGTTGAGCTCTACTTCTATTCAGAGCTTGCGCAAGGTTCGTACGTCACTACTTGTCCATCAGGAGGTGGCAAATGAGAAACCGGTCCCAGTCGCTGCATAGGAACTTTTCATAGGAGTCTTATAACCATTCGAAAGCTGAGACTTCAGGCTACAACCGCACGTCACAGTTTTCGCGAAAAGCCTTTTTTGACGTTGTTACAGAAGGAAATTCTACTCGTTCCAGACACGCATATTTCTCACTCGACAGAGCACTTTCCTTGGATTATCAGTGCAGAGAAACTGTCTTTTCAGGATATTAGCACAGCTTCGAAATTAGCAACGACTACGCTATCGAATGATTACTAATAGTCCTAAGAAAGAGCTCTGTCCAGCGAGAAATACGCGCGTCTGAAACATAGTTTTGTGTGAATTTTACAGCGTTATGAAGGGATGTTTTAGAAAAGCGACCACTTTGGGCTTTAACCAGGAATCTAGGCTTTTTAGTGACTACTAACACCACCATGAAAATTCCTATCCAACGAATGAGATCAGTTTTTTGTTGTCGCCTTATAATGGACGACTATCTGTATGTCTTTTTCAAATCGATCGCTGATGTGTCGGCAATTTCACCTTTTCCAAAGCCGTTCTGTTACGGGTGTATAACTCTTAAAGACTCTTAATTCCAGATCCATGAAAAGTACAGCATTTTCAGTTCAAATTCTTCTTGAAAACTTCAATCATAGAGTCCGTTCTTGTGTTCTGTGTCTTAGTCATTACACTGAGCTCTCATTCTAATGGTCCCTAGGTGTAGCGCACGTCTAGACCACCCAAATTCTGGAATGTATCAATCAAAGACATTCAGTGTCTCAGACCCTGCATCCTTAATGTAAAACGTGATCTCTGGACCTTTCCTATATAATGATACACACCACTTTCACCAATATCACCTTGATAGCGCATTCAATAAAGGTGATTGAACCTCCATTTTTACAAAATGAACAAGGTTGCGAGGTGTAGGATAGGTAGAATGATAGGACTGAACGATGAGCAACCAGTTCAAAATCGTCTTTTTTCTAACAAAGACGATGTAGCTGCCGGCCATCAATCTTTGATCGTAAGGTTGTCCAGAACTTTCATGAAACCTGTCGAAAGTGAATTTTTGAAGTCGATGAAGCTGAGACGAAAGAGTTTGCTGTACTAATTTGATACTGCAACGAGTCCCTCCCTCTATTGTGTGGATGTGCTCCGTCGAGATGATCCATTTCTAAAAACCTGTTGATCACTTAGACATCGTTCACCCAATATCCACTTAATCATGTGGCGAGTACATTTCCAATTGTTATATAACGTCTGTTTACGTTCTTTCTTTTCTTAGTCTATGATTTTGTGGCCGTTCGACAGCTCTAGAAATTCTGATTTTGATAATAAGCATCGTAGAATGACTTTTATACTACGTTTCATTGACTAAAAAAAGACCACGTTTTGCAATAGTAACCCATTTTTCCAACTTTACAGCGAATTTTTTCGATTTGTCGATGAAGTGACATCGTATCGCAATGTCCAGTATCATTAATGATGAACAGTTCATTGTTTTTTAATTTTTACATACGTTTAAACTAAAAATTAGTTTTATTGAAGTCTCCTCGATCATATTTTACCATCTATTGGCGATGAAATTACAGTTCTTTCCGGTTATCAAGAGACAAATGAAAAATTGATCGCATTCGCCGGAGAAGAAGTTTTCATAGGAGGGCTGATAACCATTGGAATGCTTAGACTTCTGGCTACAGTCCCACGTCGCCGGTTTTCGAAATGATCCTTTTGTAACGCTGTAAAATTCGCACAAAACTATGACTCAGACGTGAATATTTCTCGTCGGACAGAGCCCTTTCCTTTACTAATGGTGGTCATACAATAGCGTAATAGTTTCTGATTCCAACGCTGTACTTATATCTTGAGAAGAAAAGAGCTCCGTCCGGCGAGCTACATGCGCGTCTCCGACGCAAGAAATCTCCCGCTGTGATAACGTCAAAAAAAGACTTTTTCAAAAACCGGCGACGTGGGGTTGTAGCCGGAAGTCTCAGCTTTCGAATAGTTCCCAACACTCGAAGAATTCATCTCCAGCGAATGAGGTCGGTTTTCCATTTGTTCCCTTATGATCAGGAAGAACTGGAACTTCTTTAGTGACGAAAGAAGTCGAACGACATTGTTACTGCTATGCATTGCGCTCTCCGCGCGATCCCGCCGAGTGTCGTGTGTAAAGTCAACGTGGGACTCGAGCTCAAATACGTGCTTAACCCCACTGAAATAGTAAAATATCTGCGGTTTTGGGAAGGAAAACACGATATGACAAAGTAATTATCTTTCATTCCAAGATATGGAGGCAGATGAAAGCGGTTGTCGAGAAAGTCGGTGCAGAAGTCTCAAATTGACAATAATCTCTATGAATAACAAATGTCCATTCCTTTTCGAGTCGAAATCACCGCGAAGTAGCTAGTGCACCGTGCCACATATGTACTTCTTACTTATATATAATCAATCTTCAAGGTCACACGCACTTTCTATTTCGAGATACCGCCGTACTCACGTGAACGTGCGAGTGTTCTCCTTGAGGGAACCTGTTTTTTCAGCGCTAACTTCAGTTCACGCTAACGTCAGAACCCGCCCAATTCCAAGTTGGAATCACGCGGGCCAACCTTCCCAAAAGACTTCCGCGCTTGGTCTAAACGTTGGCATTCCCGTGGTGTATAATGCCTGTGTCTACACATATTCTTGTATTGCTGTCATTGTACTGCTATCATTACTATCAACGATACGATACAAATTCACGAACTTCAACTCAGGGCCAATCACATAAAGTCCCGCCTGGCAAACTCCCACAAACTTGCAGTCTTCAACTTGGCCAGGGTCTTTGTCTTCTAACAACTCAGACTAACTCGCACTACCGCATTCTCCACTTCACCACCACGGGGTGAATGATATTTCCCGTCCTTCCTCTTAATATGCAATGATGCTGAGCAGTGAGCAGAAACGTCAGGCGGGACTTGAACCCGCATTTCATTCTATCCGGGATCGTGTGCTCTACCCGTTGCACTACCGACTCCTGTTTTGCCACCACTGTTTCTATGGTGTAACGCATCAATCTATCAGCAACCAACCGTCAGCGGTTTGGCCTCATAGTCGATATCGACACTGAATACAGTCACGCTGACAGATATTTGATATACCTATGATCGAACAGAATTCCTTATTAATTGACCGGTTTTAGCGGTGATATAAGTTCAAAAAATATTCAGTGGTGTTGAGAAATGTGCAAAACTTTGACATCCATACATATCACCTAATATCTGACAGCGTGACTGAGTTCGATATCAATATCGACTACCAGGAGCTAAATCGTGACGGTCGATTGCTGACAGATTAATCTATTACAGCGTAGAAAGAGTGGTGGCAAAACAAGTGTCGGTAATCCAACGGGTTAGAGCTCGCGCCTCTGAATAGGATGAAGTGCGGGTTCGAGTCCGGCCTGATGCAAAAGTCTTCGACATCGCTCAACATCATTTGATATATCTCTAACATCATACCTCCGATAAAAACCGTTAATTACGGGAGAATTCTGTTTCCCTTTTATGATGTGAATATTCGGACATGTACTGAAAGTTTCTCGGTTGACGGATTCGGTAGATATCACAAATGATTTTCCCAGCTCTGCAGTTTCAGCGAATACTGTAGCTCTTCTATCCAAAGTGTGTAGTGGCATCTGTAGAGAATTTTACACTTTCAAGCGTATGCTAACAACTGCTTGCTCATCTTCATATCGGCGTATCAGTCCAAAACTTCTTGGTGACCGTTTTTATTGTTTTTTCTAAAATCATGTGTGGCGACGAGACCATCGCAAGAATAGGATGCTCCGTTCTTGTACGGAATCGTGACCAGCAGGGGCAATTAATTGAGAAAATCCTTGAATCAGTGGTTACATGATTGCTTTCATTATTCGAAGCCCTCTAGGGACAACCATCTTCACAATCGAAAAAGAGCTTTATGAAGGCTTTTTTCCGAATCAGTCCTGATGTTACGGTCACTCAGGACAATCCATAGATACGATATTCTTATCAGTACTCCGTTTGAAATTTCAGTTCCCTGATTTCGTTGTGACTGGAAGCTTTCCCATTCCTCTTGCTTGCGGTAGTTGGATTTATTTAGTAGGGTCATGGAATGACTATTAGAGTTTTCATATGGTCGTTAAGGGCGGCATAGCGCAGTAATTAGAGTTGCCCTGAATGTAAACTAGATCGGTCCGTGGCTCCATCTTGCGTTCCAATCTAACCAGTCTTTTTTTTTCAACCGAGTACGCATTTAGTACTTTTACGATGGTGTCGGAATGACACATTCCTCGAGCATTGATCGGCAGTGACTGATTCATGCTTTTTCTGTCGTGGAATCACTCGATTTCTAAGAATTCTCTTAACTAGCTCATCTGACTTTGACTCAATAAATGACGCTCTTTCATAGTACAGAACGAAGCTTGTTTGCTGGTTGCAACCTCGAGTTGTTTCTTTTGTTCTTTTCAAACATAGAACGTAGACTTTTGGGGGGAAGGGGGGGGGGGGGGGAATCAAGTAGACGTGAAAGTAAGATCTACCATATATCCAATAATGTTGAATGATATGCAGGGCCTTGAGCCTCAGACGACAATCGAACCCGCATTTCACCCTTGCCAAAGTCGCGAATTTATGTACAATATCAGTCAGCGTAAGTTGGTTAAATGCCGACATGTACTATGTAGACCAAATCGTTGACGGTTCTTTGTTGACAGATCGATATCTTGAATTGCAAGAAGAGTGATACCAGGATAGGAGCCTCTGTAGTGCATTTGAATAGCACGCACCCTCGGAAAGGGTGGAATACGGGTTCGATTTCCGCCTGAGGTTTGAATTTCGACATATCAACTTATTGAAGATGATGTGACAGCATGACATATATTATGAGTCGGCTGTTATGAGGTTTGATATGGGCACATAAAGTGCTAGACAGGCACCTGTTTTGTCCTTCTGAACTTATTAGTAGCACAGCTTCTCTTGGTTCAACCGATACCTTGGGATATACCCCTACATAAAGGAAACGACGCCGAATAATAGATCACCTCAAGTCAGGTGACAAAATCCCGCGACATTGCAATAACCACAGTCGAGTGTTTATGGCTGGTAGATTAGATAATACCCTTCTCTTGGCTATTCATGTTATCACATTTTGAGCTATATAAATGGTCTCGTTCTACCAGCCATAAACACTCTACGTAGTCATTGCAATGTCAGGGAATATTGTCACCTGACTTGAGGTGATCTATTATTCGGCGTCGTTTCCTTTATGTAGGGGTATATCCCAAGTGATCGGCTGAATCGTGGGAAACTGTGCTACTGAGTCTGGAAGGACGAAACAGACACGTACCTAGCTATTTCTAAGAGCTCATATCAGACCTCGTAACATGGAGATATAGCTTGTAGTATCAGGTTACTTTTCAAAGCAGTCATGTAAAAAGCCTTCTTAGTGTTGTGATCTACTTTCCCGCACGGATATATGCGCATGTGGGATCATCCATTTGAAGAGGACATAAGACCGTTCTGTGCTACAAAAACGCTGCATAGATACCCGTTCCGACGCATAAAGTGAGAGCTATCCTCCCAGACAAGTTCGATAACTTTTGTTTTGAGTGTTTTCTTATACCGTTAGATCAAAACTAATTCAAAAGATCGGCTGTTTCTGAAACCCCGAAAAAAAACATCCAATATAATTCCAAAAAAAAAAGAATGCTTTAAGCTCAAAAGGGGTTGATACGCCAGGGTCACACACCGATGTTTCGGAGGTTCGTCCTCCTCGTCACTGACCCCTGCCCCCACATTCAGCCCTGCATTGTAGCAAGGAGGGAGGCGTCGGTGGTGATGGCACAGTGTACAATGACACTGGTCCATCACCACCTCTCAGTCGATAGATTTTTGCTGTTAGATCAAAAACTAATTCAAAAGATCGACTGTTTTTGAAACCTTGAAAAAAACATTCAGAATAATTTCAAAAAATTTCAATTTTTATAGTAAGAGTAGTGTCAAAACGAGCGGTAGAACGAGTTTCAAAAACGGTCGATCTGATGAAATCAATTTTGATCTAACAGCCAAAAATCCATCGACTGAGAGGTGGTGATGGACCAGTGTCATTGTACACTGTGCCATCACCACATACGCCTCCCTCCTTGCTTCAATGCAGGGCTGAATGTGGTGCTGGGGTCACTGACGAGGAGGACGAACCTCCGAAACACCGGCGTATAACCCTGGCGTATCAACCCCTTTTGAGCTTAAAGCATTCCTTTTTTTGGAATTATGTTCTTATATCTCCCAATTATTACTTGAGCCAACATATACTGTGGTTTGTTATAGGCTCTTGTACAACCCGATTCCAATCAAGAACAATGGAGTGTACAACCACTGCCGATCTATTGATTCATTTCACATGACGGCACGTGTAACTCGTTTCGGTCGTCGCCCTACCTCTTCATAGGATGTAGGGGCTCCCGAGAAGAATGGCTTCCCGACTGACGAGGTTGTCAAGGCCGAAACACCTGTATCTCGCTTTATATAGAGCCCATAACAGACCACATGACATGTTGGCTCATGTAATACTTATGAGACATATTGAAATGCGATAACAATGTGTCGATTCTGGCCGGATGGAAGGGCTGGTGAGCGTTTGGCGCGGGATCGAACCATCGACCATCTGTGCGTCGGCGGGCGGCTCCAACTATTACGCCTCACGCCCCTCTATAGTGAGCGTAGATAGGGAATTTTCAATTCTTGGGAATTTTTAGAAACAAATAAGCGAGAATCCCATTTTTGTAAACCAAAAAACTGCTTTACACGGAAGCAGGAAAAGTTTATTGGAAGAGGCGGGCGGCGGCGGAGTTGGCGATTACGTCGCTCCAATCGTCGTTCGTTCGTTCTCACCCACTCCTTCGATGCAAACTCTCAACTCGCGCGGTTCCAGTCATCGTGATTTTCTTACTTGTCACGTATTCTTGTGTTTCTATCGCTTTTTCTCAATATTATGATGCTTTAAATGGATCTAAGAGAATTGAGCAGTAAGCAAAAATTTAACGTCACACGGGAGTTGAACCCGCATTTCATCCATGCCGGGATGGGTAAGCTTGCTACCACTGCCACCACAGAATTACCACCGCTTTCACACCACTCATTCTTCCAAATCTTTCTATCATAGCTATCAACCACCAACTCGGTGTGGATGTGAAACGCGGGTTCAACGCCGTCTCATGTCAAATTTTTGCTTAGCACTCAGTTCTCCCAAGGATATTTACTCCGTTGAGGTTCGATTGCAGCGTCGAGCCAGTGTCTCCCCGAAGTTCGATGAGCTCCGCCGGGACTGTAATTAGCCGAAGAGGTTGTCCTCTTCTGATGTCTATCAGACTTTTGCTTCAGGTGAGGACCATTCATTTATTCCTTTGGTGGACGATCAGAGTCATTTTAACTCTCAGATTTTCAGAGGTCATTTTTTTTTACTAAACTAAGCTTCTTTTTTTTGGAATTTAAGCAGTCATTCGAAAGTTCAAATAACGAGGATCTTGACGTTTTGCTTCGCTTCCGAAAAGACCTTTGGTTCCCTTCTGATTAGTAGGGAACAAATGAAAAGCCGACCTCATTTGCTGGAGAGCAAATTTTCGTTGGAGTGTTGATAACCAATCGAAAGTTGAGACTTGAGGCTGCAGCCCCACGTCGCCGGTTTTCCGAAACACCCTTCTATAACGCTGTGATCTCAACACAAAACTATGTTTCGAGTGTTTTCTTGAGACCACTGCTCAAATTGCAATATGCCTGATAATCATTTTCTGAGCCACGCATGTCAGTGGTCTGTCAAACAGGCTGACTTGTAGAGCCCGGTACACCTGCTTCGACCTTGCGATATCATCAGTCGGGCAGTTACCCTTTCTCGTCTCTCGCTAATCTCTTTGGGTGCTCCAGTCTCCACGCTAAGAGTTAGCGACGTATCGGGCTCTTACACTCTATGTCCAGTGAAAATCTCACCGAACACAGTGTTGTACACTCGATTGCTCTTAGCTGGTATATTCAATATATTTTATATTCACGTTTTACACTCTATGTCAAGTGAAATTCAGGTCAAGTTAGCTCAAATAATAGTGAAAAGATCTATTTAAATTTGAGCGTGGTCTTAACAAAGCACTCGAAATAAAGGTATTAATATGACACTTTCTCTATAGCTCATCGCCATCATTATAGCGTTCTACGCTCTCATAAACACTTGAATGCCTATGCATATGTGACTTCAATCCCTGAATGTACTTTTTTCGGCTCTTTCCAATTATAAGGAAACAAATGAAAAGCCGTCATCATTTACTGAAGAGAAACTTTTCATCGGAATGTTAGTAATCATTGGAAAGCTTCGATTTCTGACTACAGCCACACATGAGCGGTTTTTTGAACTTTTTGTAACACTGTGAAATCCGTGCAAAACTATGTCTCAGACGCGGAATTTTTTGCCAGACGGACCTCTTTCTTTGGATTTTTGGTAAGCATTCGATAGGTAAACGCAAATTATTTCACCTTCTGCGTATAAGAGAAGCGGTCTTTTTAGGATATAATAACAGCGTTGAAATCAAATTCGTTTATGCTATCGAATGGTTACTGATTATTCAAAGAAAGAGCACCGTCCGGCGAAAAATATGCGTGTCTGAAACCAAGAATTCTCCTGCAGCAACGTCAAAAAATTTTTTTCGAAAACCGGTGACGTGAGGTTGTGATCTCAAGTCTCATCTTTAGGAAGGTTACCAACACTCCTATAAAAAGTTCCTCTCTCCAGCGAGCGAGACCGGTTTTTCATTTGTTCCCTTATAATCATAAAGCCCCCTTTTTTTCTAGAGGGGGGTGGGGTATGCGGAATCGGGAATATCACCTTTGAAATGGTGACACTCTTCAGCCTTTTTGAATTGGAGAAAACTTTACAGCTTTGCCCCTATGTCGCTTGTTTTGCTAAAAGTTTCATCTGAGACTAGCCGGTCAACCGACCGGACGACGTGGTAGCGTCATAAACCTTTGTGTGTATATAAAATCGTAGTTATTGATAATAGTCGTTCAGCGACTGCTGGAGGTCTACATTAACTCTGGCTCTTATACCTTTTCTTCTTATTGAAAGTCTTGTCAAAACAACAGCAATCCACCGAAAAACAAATATGCCCATAGCGCACACTCTCAGTTCTTCGTGAGCATGAACCATTCCATTCATAAGCTTGAGCATTTCATCTTTCTAGTCTAGTGGCTTGAGTGTTTCGTTAGGAAACATGTTGTGCGGTACGAACTACAACAAAGAGTTTTGCTGCGGAATTTCGAATGTTTTTCAATACTGAACTTGAAGTAAAAGAGGAACTTGTCAATGTCAGTGTTCCAATGCAATTGATTCAAAAGCACAACTTGTTCTTGTTGCAGATGTCCTATTGACAGATGCTGTTTTCAGCTTTCGCTAACGGCAGCTCACACTTTGAACGACCTGGCCCGATCGGCGGTTATCACGTTTGAACCACAGAGTTTACATGATTTGGTGGAAGGTGGCAATGAAACTGTGTTTGTATCAGTGAAGATACCTCAAGCAGAGTTTGCGGCTCTTCCCGATCTGAAATACCATATGAGTTTCGGGTATGTTTGCGTTCTCCAAAACCTATGCATTCTAATAGTTCCTGGTCGTTTTTTGAGGTGTCCAATCCGTTAGATCGGTTTTGTTTATTGAAAATAAAAATGCTTTGTTGATGCAGTATTGACTCCTCAATAGACTGGAATATTTTTTTTTTCCTATACTATACTACTTTTTATACTAATTCTCAAAAACAGTCGACTAAGTCTTAGTCTATCGCTCAGTAATT